ATATATATATTTGACAATTGTTTATAGTTGAAAAAGTGGATCGATTGTTAGTAACCTGAAATAATTGTTTAATCGATAAAGGGTCTGATATGTCCATCTACTATTGATAATTATTTAAAAATGTCCGACATTATACTATCCGGACATAAAACCCCTCACTGTTACACTATTAAACAAAAATACCCCTAATTAGACGGCATAGACACGTGGCGTAACCTTAAAGCTGAAGAGAATCCGGTTCTTTTAATAACCCAACCCGCTCCTACCCACATAATTGACCCACCCTTCTAAAACTAAAAACACGGCTCAGAATCCTAATTTCGTCCCACCCTTAATAGAGAAAAATCGTCCTCTCTCTATTACTCAAAGTTCGTAAATCCAAAACTCAAGATTCGGTCTCAAAGGTTCGTCTCCTCTCTATTACTCAAAATTCGTAATTCCAAAACTCAAGATTCAGTCTCAAAGGTGGGTTCAATGTCCGATTCAACTGCTACATCAAAGAGGAGGTGCCATTGTGGGGAGATTGCCAAGAACTTCAAATCAACCAAAGCTCAAAATCCTGGAAGGAGATTCTATAAGTGTGCTAAACCTGAAGTAAGTTTTAATTTTGCTTGTGATTCATAATTTGAAGGTATGATACAAATTTCGTAATTGGTTGTTTTTTTAGAATGAGTCGTGCGGATATTGGGAATGGCAAGACGAAGCCTACCCGGACAGAGCGTTGATAGAAATCAACAAGTTGCAGTGCAAATTAGATGCTGCTAATGTGACAATCAATATGTTGATCAGTTTTTGGATACGTGCAAAGTTGAAAGGGACAAATTGCTGGAAAAGGTTGATGTATTAGAGGCTGTAAAAAATATTGAAGTGAATAAATCAAGGGAGATGAAAAAGAAATTGTTGAAGATGAAGATGTTTGTTTTGATATCGTTTGCACTGTTTGTTAGCTTTGTTGCGGCAATGATGATGAAGTAATGCATTAGTTAAGAACAATTTCGAACAAGTTATTGTGAACAAATTATCGTGTTTGATGAAGTTAAATGTTGTTGATGAAATGTATTGTGTAGTGCCTACTAAAATGTGTAGTTGGTATTGTGTATTGTGCCTACTGAAATATATTGTGTCTTGTGTAGTGCCTACTGAAATGTATTTTTGATGAAGTTTAATGTTGTTGATGAAGTTATGAAAATATTTATACTTTGTGTAAGGCCTACTGATTTGTAATGCGTTTTCATGTTGCATTGTTACTTAAAAACTATATCATTTCAACACAGTTTACTGCACTATCTGGAACAAGTTATTGTGAATTCTAGTCAATAAACACCTAAACCTGTATCATTTCAGAACTACAGCACTGTTAAGATCATTTCAACACAGTTTTACTACACTATCTGGAACAAGTTATTGTGAATTCTAGTTGATGTGTAAACACCTAAACCTGTATCATTTCAAAACTACAGCATTGTTAAGACCAAAAGATCACAGAACGTAAGAATGTAGATACGTGCAAACTTAAAAGGGACAATTGACGGAATAAATACTAGTCAATAAGCATTTAAGTACGGTTATTACAGTAGTTACATCACCAAAAGATTACCTAATGGATGAATGAATGTCATATTATAACAACAAAAACTTATACAACAAAGTCATAATATGATATCCAATCCCAGTACCAATATTAACAAGTTTGCAGCAAAGTTTGCAGTTAATACATCCCAACAAAACACAAAAAAAGTTCAGTTTGGTCATCATTTTCCTTTCCTTGGCCTAAGCTTCCCAATCCTCTGTTGCCCTTGTTTTTCTAACTGATTTGCAGTTGTAGCAAGTTTTCCTTTCCAGCTTAAAGATGGTGGTGAGTATGGAAGGTTTGTCGGATCACTCACACCAGTGTGATCACCAGCGAAGGTGATTGACCTTGTGTCAGTGGGTATTGGTACCTTCTGTCTCATCTTAAGCTTTGTATTGACTTCATATCACTCTTGGACTCAGTACAACATCTTGATCAATCTCCACATCCTTGCTTGATTGGCCAATACTCCTAACTCCGGGTGTAGGCATGAACCTAAAGTCATTGTCTTGACTTGGTTGACTGATTGGAAGGGCTGAACAGTTAATTTCTTCTTTAGTTTCTTCATCTATCAAAGTTCATGGCCTCTTTGTTTGTTGTTTTCCCTTTCCCTTTGGTTGCTGAAAGAAAATCCAAGTTAGAAAAATATAATAAGTTCAAATTTCAGTAAATAAATATTCAAATTAGATTTTACCTGTCCACAAGTCCTAGCATTGTGGGTTGTCTCTCCATATTTGCTACAAGTCATAACTCTTCCTTTTCTGGATTGTGACCACAATCCTTGCCTTTTAATGGCCTCATCCTTCTGCCTATCTCACTTAACTTTAGGCCTGCCAGCCAACTTCACCAACTCAGGTGGTTCCATTACTTGTGATGGGTCAATCTTCCAAAAAAATTCTCCTCTTAGAGGTTGTAACTTGTGTTTATAAGTGAGTAGAAATGCCTCCTTGCTATACCACCAGTTCTTTTCTGTCAAAGGATCACCCATGTTATGAAGTACAGCTTTAATAACATGTGGACATGGGATTCCTGTAAGATCCCACTGCCTACAGGTGCACTTCTTCACAGCCATATTCACACAATGCTTATCACCTCCTTCTGACACTTCATAGCCATTTTCTCCATTTGCATTAACTCTATAAGCGGATTGAGCAATTTGCATGTACTCACTGTACAACTCCATGGTTTTTGGACTAAAGTCATGTCTCCAACTCCTCACTTCATCTCCATGTTCTCTTAACATGTTCATCACTTTGATTCTAATGTCCTCCAACATCTTTATTATTGGCTTATGCCTTGCTTCCAAAATCCACTTGTTGAAGGATTCAGTCAAGTTGTTATCAACTGACTGATTCTTGCACACTGTGTCCAGATAAGCTCTACACCAAGTCTGAGGTGGGTACCTCAACAAACCAGTTGCTGCATCCTTGTTCAATTCCCCTAAATTCTTCAGTTGGTCCTTGAATTCCTCCTCATAAGTAGACCATGCACACCACCAAAGTAATTTTTTGCTTTCACCAGTATTGTATATCTTGCACCAGTTAGCCTCAATATGTCTAACACAATATCTATGTTGTGATTGAGGAAGGACAGTTCTAACAGCATCAATCAATCCCTATGACAGTTACAGAAACATACAGTCACTTAGACTATTTCATGAACAACAAAAAGACAGAATTAAAGATAGAATTAGATGCAGACCATGGACAGAACTATAATTGCAAAACTGAAGAAAAACATACATAGAAATAGACAGAATGATGATGAACAGACATAAAAACAGACAGAAATATAGGACAGAAATATAGGACAGAAATAGAAAAAGACAGAAATATAGGACAGAAATAGAAAAAGACAGAAATAGATTGACATATGAATACCTTTTGCATGTCTGACATGAAGGTAATTCCTTCCCCATCCTTGAGGTCTAGAGAATATTGAAGCAACTGCAAAAACCAATTCCATGTATTCTTTGTCTCTTTATCAACAATTGCCCAAGCCAAAGGGTAGAAATATTCTGTGAATCTTGTCCAACAGCCACTAGCAGTTGGCCCTTAGCTTTCCCCTTTAAGAAAGTGCCATCTAGACCAATAAAAGGTCTCAACCCTAGCTTGAAATCCATCTTTAAAGCTTGAAAGCAAATACATCCTCAAGAATCTTCTTCTCCCTTCTTCAAATGCATTCTTTGAAAGATTTATAACCACATCACTGCCTGGATTACTATCTCTCAATTCAGTTGCATAAGCTTCAAATTTGTTATACTCATCATTAAAACTACCATCTAAGTTTTCCAAGAGCATTCTCTTTGCTCTCTTACACTTTCCATGACTAATATTTAGTTCAAAAACCCTCTTCAAATCTGCCATCATCTCCTTTACCTTATACTTAGGATTATCCTGTAATTAAGCTTGAAATACTGTGTAATAGTACTGAAATCAACTGTATTGTTATCGTAAGAAACACCACAACTGTGTTCTGTATTTAAGGTCTTGATCTTAACCCCACCATTCCTCTCTTTAGATATCAAACACAAAAAGGGACAACCAAATATATCACATTTATACCTAAGCCTTATTTTGCCACTCTTCAACAACTCTAATTTTTTCTTGTTTGTCAAAGCATACAACTTCATACATTTCCTAGCTTCTGGTACGTCCTTAAAGTTCATACCCTTATACAACTCTTTGTACTCATTAAGTTCTTCAGTTATCTCCCTCTTTTTTTGTACTTTCAATGTTTTCAATTCTTCAGAATCATAACTTTCTAATTCAGAAATAGAGTCAGATTCTAAGTCACTTAAGATATAGTCAGTACCAGCCTCATCCTCATGGGTGTATGATTCTTTATGGTGTACAATATCAGGGATACCATGAATAGGGGGCTCATATTCATCCACAGCATAAATGCTAATAACATTATATTCATCACATATTAAGCCAAGTAATTGTCTAATCCCAACATCCCCATCAATCTTATAAAATTTGCCAGAAGGACAAGCAACAATAAGCTGATGAACCCCTACAAACCCTAGCTCATTTATATATTTATTCACTATGTCTATATATGAAAGTAAGTCTGAGTCATAACCTGTTCAAGTGTGCACCAGTTTCTTTGTGTATAAGACCTCAAATTGTGTAACCCAATCACCACCATAATTGAATATTATATCTATTAACACCATCTCCAATAACCTACAAATATAGCTAATAAGTCCAGTTAGTAAAGAATAAAGAAACCAGTAAAAAGGCAGAACTAAAATGGGAATAATTAAATTAAAAAATCAGCTAAGAGTAGGGGTCCCCCTTCACACATAAAAGAGCACATTTAGCTCTGTCATACCACCAATGAAGGTGGTCCTACTCACAGAATACTTTAATACCAAAAGGTCACACAATTGGGGACAACTTCACTTAATAAATAAAGAAGAAGTTCATATCTTGAGACCACACCACATAAAGGTCCACTTTCAGGCCCACTCCACAATAAATTAACTAAAAATCATTGAACGTGGTCCTACACACATAGTACTATAATCAGAAAGTAACAAAATTAGGGACAAATTTACCTATTAAACGACAAAAAAAGCTCAGAATATTGGGACGAAGAAATACCCTAAACCAGCTACCAAAACCAAAACCATGTCGGGACCAAAAATAACTTCAGATCGGGACCATATCAATAATAAAGCAGACAAAAAATATGAATATAATACTGAAAGTACAAAAATAAATGTATGGATGTCGATTAAACACAACAAATCAAAACCCTAGGCGAAAACCCCTAAAAAAATAGAAAACACATAAAATACTGAGCAAAAAAGAGTTAAAACAAGAAAAGCGAAGCATTTTCATGGAGAAAAATATTACCTTTACAGCATTTGCGATGGAAATTTAACAATTTTTCTTCTGTGGACTGTGTCTTCTAGAGAGAGTGAAAGAGAAGAAAAAAGAACTGTGTTTTTAGGTTAGGTTCTAAGCCGAGTTTTTAGTTTTAGAAGGGTGGGTCAATTATATAGGTCGGAGCGGGTTAGGTTATTAAAAGAACCGGATTCTCTTCAGCTTTAAGGTTACGCCACGTGTCTATGCCGTCCAATTAGGGGTATTTTTGTTTAATAGTGTAACGGTGAGGGGTTTTATGTCCCGATAGTATAACGAAGAATATTTTTAAACATTTGCCAATAGTAGAGGGACATATCAGACCCTTTATCGATTAAACAATTATTTCAGGTTACTAACAATCGATTCACTTTTTCAACTATAAACCTTATGAAAAATGAACATATATAAAAAAAAAAAAAAAGAATAAATTAAGATAGAAAACTTATTGATAATTATAGCCTTTCTTCCGTATGAGCATACAATTTGCCAGAAACAAAGAACAAAAATTGAACAATGTGATTGAGAGAATAATTGAATAGTTTTTCGATAAGGATATAAGATATGGAATAGGGTGTTTAAATAGTAATCTCATTCGTAATCATTTGCCTTGTCTCGCTCCTATCCGTTACTGTCATTTAATATATTAATTATGTGTTACATCATTGATTTGTATGGAGTAATGATGGAAAATCCCGTATAAAACGAGATTGATTGATTCTTATGTTTAGTTCCGAGGCTAACAGGCACAATACGAATTTGTACAATCCCAGAGGTGTTTCACATATCATCTTTACACATCACTATTTACTTTGTTGATACGTGTCGTCATTTAATGGTCCTATGTGGCGAGTCTATTTTTCACTAATACACATGACATGTAGTGGCACATTAAAAAGAAGATAATTGCGGCGGTTTTCTTTACATATAAGGGGGGTTTCAAACTGCCATAATATGCACTTTGGTGAATTAACGGCGGTTTTAGAAACTGTCATAATTTCGTCCACTACAAGCTAAAAATGCAATTTTCAAAAACTGCCATAAATGCAAATGATATATAACGACGATTTGTTTTGCAGTTATGCACATCCATAATTGTAGTCTAGGTACCACTTATAACTTGCTTATGGGTGTTGTAAACCACCCGAATTGATAAATTTAATTTATTATAATAATTAATTCTATTTTGCATTTTTCTTCATTCTACTCTTACATACAACTAGTCCAATGCTCGAAACTTATTTTCTCTTTATAATTGTTGCCACACGTATAAAAGATTGATTAACTAAATAAAATATTCATCAGACATCAAATTTAAAATGCATAAGCACTCCAAACTTAAGGGATATTAGCTCCCCATGTGATTTGGTGCTTTCTAATCCAAGCCATTTGGTGAATTAGTTTCTGTTGCTATCGTCCTTTATTATCCTAACGTTTATTACCCTTTTCACTACTTTGCATGTTGGCCCTTTTTTTCTTACAACTTTTTTTCTTTTGGTAAGAAAATTCAGGTAGATCCTAGACTAATTTATATTTATATATATAAATATAAGTTGGGAACTAAAAAGGTGATGTGGCATACTTCTTTGACCAATATGACAATTTCTTTTTTTTCTCAAAATTTTAAACTTTTTCCTTATTTTCTATAAAAGAAAACTGTCAAAAATATCTTTGTCTTCATTACTACTCCATTTATTTCTATTCATCAAATCATATTTCATCTCTCTTTCTTCCCGTTTTCTTTATCCTTATTATTACTCCATTTATTCCTTTTGCTCAAATCTCTCTTTCTTCCTCACTTTTCTTCCGTTTTTTCTTCTCATTATTTTTCTTCTTCTCATTATTACTCTATTTATTTATTTTTCCTCAAATCCTTCTCCTCTTTCTATGTTTTCATTTTCTTAGAATGTGTTTTTTTTTATCTCTCTTTAAAATCCAAAGCCCTTAAGATAGGCAGGAGTCTGAGAAGAAGCAAGTGTCGGAGAAACCTTTCGATGATAAAACTGTAGTAGAGAAGTAGCCGAAGGCAGTGAATACGTACTTCAAATATGTTGAGACTGGTAGTTAGTTGTAGTGGTGTAGGTGTGTGTCCAGCTGTAAATGAGTTGTCATTAGTGTAAGATTAAGTTAAGAAGTTAGTTAGTTAGTTACATGTATAAATACTTCATTTCTAGATGCTTCTGTGATTGAGCTTTTGATTCAATGAGAATTCATTCTTCTCCCTCTCTCACTCGGTCATTTCCTCTCAATGCATCTCCATGGCTGACCTCCATTAACATGATATCAGAGCATAGGTGAAGCTCCTGTACCCAGCAATTAGGAGAAGGTTGATGCGAAGAGAAGCTGAGTAAAATTCTCGAATTGAGCTCAATTCCAGCTCGATTTCACTCTGTGTTTGAATCTGTGATCTACAGAGATAATTCCTCTGTAATTCGATTTCAGTTGTTGTCATTTCGTTGTTATTGATCCCTACAATGGCTGCTGACGGAACTTCCTCTACTCCAGCTACTCCAGCTGCTCCTACACCAGATCAGAATATAGATCTGGTTCATCACCATCATCCACTCTACATTCACCTATCTGATACACAAGGTACAGTTCTCATCTCAATTCAACTTCAAGGTCCTGAGAATTATTCACTGTGGAGTAGATCTATGAAGATTGTTTTGCATGGTAAAAACAAGCTAGGTTTTGTGCTAGGAACATGTAGAAAATATATGTTTGATCCTAGTTTACACGAGCCATGGGATAGGTGTAATGCTATTGTGCTGGCCTGGATAATGAACACTGTAGCTCCAAATCTGCTTAGTTCTGTGATATACGCCTCTGATGCTCACAAGGTTTGGAAAGATCTTCGTGAGAGATTTGATAAAGTCAATGCATCTAGATCCTTCTACTTACACAAGGAAATTGGGAAACTAACACAAGGTCTACTGTCAGTGTCTGAATATTTTTCAAAATTGAGAGAGTTGCGGGATGAATATGGGGCTTTAGTTCCTCCTCCTTCATGTGGTTGTCCAGAATCTAGGAAAAATGCAGAACATTATTAACTTGGAAAGTTGTATCAATTTCTTACTGGCCTAAATGATACCTTTGATAATGTCAAGGATCAGATCCTCATGACTAGACCAGTACCTAATATAAATCAGGCATATGCAATGATCATTAATGTGGAAAGTCAGAGAAGGAACAATGTTGCTGTTGGTGTTAGTGACCCTACAGCCCTGCTGAGTAATAAATCTCCTACTGGTGGTCACAATTGTGGCTATAAGCCCAGAAACAACCTTGGAAAGTCCTCCCTTCAATGTGACTTCTGCCATCTTAAAGGTCACACTAGAGAAAACTGTTACAAACTTCATGGCTACCTCACTGATTTTAGAGGCAGGAAAGGAGGAGGAAGTACTCTTGACTCCAAAGGTACATATGCACACACTGCTAGCATAGCATCTGATTCACCTCAACAAGGAAAAGCTACTAATGTGGTCCCAACATATGGTTCAGCAACTGATAGCTCTCCAGCAACAACAGGTGTCTCTTCAGCACCTTTCTTTACTCAGGATCAATACAATCAAATCTTGCAAATGCTGAACAAAGGAAAGCAGGTTGATACTATGGCTAACTCTGCAACAATGAATATTATAGGTCTATAACAGCCCTCATGTCTCATCTAGTGAGTAATAATTGGATTATAGATATAGGTGCTACTAATCATATGGCACTACTGAGCAATATTAGAAAGCTATCAGATATTGATCAGAACTCGGTTCAACTTCCTAATGGTGACAAGGTTATAATCAGCCACACTAGTGATCTATTATTGTTTAAGGATAAATCAGTACATCATGTACTTTATATTCCAAATTTCAAGTTCAATCTGATGTTAGTGTCAAAAATCACAAAAGAGCTAAGATGTCTAGTGGCCTTCTTTCCTAATTTCTGCATATTTCAGGAGCTCTTCACTGGGAAGGTGATGGGGATTGGTAAAGAGGAGCATGGCCTCTACATTCTGAAGCACAAAGAACAAGATATTCCCAAGTAGCTTCCAGATTCTAGGCCATTTCATTCAAGTTCCTTTGTAAATACTACTAGTAGTGAATTTCAAACAAATAATGCTAGTATTGAAAATAAGAATACATCTGAGTGTCCAGATGAGACTGTTTTATGGCATAAGAGGTTGGGTCATGTACCACTAAGGGTTCTAAAAAGGATAGAAAGTTTACCAAATGTTCAATTGAAGGATCATTTCTGAACAGTTTGTCATGTTGCTAAGCACACCAGAATTCCTTTTTCTTCCAGTAATGCATGTTTAATTAATGCATTTGATCTCATACATGCTGATGTTTGGGGGCCATACAGAGTACCTACTCACAATGGTAGGAGGTATTTTATGACTTTAGTGGATGACTACTCAAGGTTTATCTGGCTTTTCCTGATGAATGACAAGGCAGAATCTATTGTGATTCTGAAAAACTTCCTGGTATTAGTCAAAAATCAGTTTCACTGTAGTATCAAGTGTTTAAGGTCAGACAATGGCACAGAATTCTTTAACAATCAGGTAACAGGACTTCTACAAGAACATGGCATAGTCCATCAAAGTTCTTGTGTATACACTCCTCAACAGAATGGCAGAGTTGAAAGAAGACATAGATCTATTCTTGATATGGCTAGAGCCTTAAGGTTTCAGGCTTGTGTCCCTTTAAAATTTTGGGGAGAGTATGTTACTACTGCTGTGTACATTCTGAATAGGTTGCCCACTATTGTATTGAAGGGTGTATCTCCTTTTGAAAGACTATTTCACGGGTCTCCTTCCTTACAACATCTCAGAGTCTTTGGGAGTCTGTGTTATGCAACCAACTTGAAGAAAACTGATAAGTTCTGCCCTAGAGATATTCCTGCTGTTCATCTAGGCTATTCCTCTAGTCAAAAGGGCTATGTTCTGTATGATCTGAGCTCCAAACTCTTATTTGTTAGCAGGGACACTGTGTTCAGAGAAGATATCTTTCCATTCAAACACCTACATACAACTCCATCTCCCTTGTTCCCAGTTCTAGAGTTCAGAGATGTTGAATGTCCTAATCTGTCCTCTCCTGATGTCTTCACTCAATCTTCCTCTCCATCTTCTCCTCAACCTCCCTTGAATGTTCCTCCTAGTTCTCCCTTTCCCTCTCCACTCTCTTCTGATCATTCTCCCTCTTCATCTTCTACTTCTCATTCTTCCTCTCTTCCTTCACCTACTCATGCTGATTTAAGAAGATCTTCTAGAGTGTCTAAACCTCCTATATGGATGGAAGATTATATTGTGATGCCTAAGCCCTCTTCCTGTGCTTACCCAATCTCACAGTGTGTATCCTATGAGTCAATCTCATCCACCTGTAGGGCATCACTTGCAGCTTATTCAGCTGTCACTGAACCAAGGACTTATGATGAGGCCAAGACAGATCCCAGGTGGATTGAGGCTATGAAGGCTGAGATTTCAGCCTTAGAAACTAATCAGACTTGGACTATTGTTGATCTTCCTCCAGGTAAGACTCCTATAGGATGCAAATGGGTCTTTAAAGTGAAGTACAAGTCTACTGGTGAAGTGGAAAGGTATAAGGCTAGACTAGTTGCCAAAGGATATAGTCATCTTGAAGGCCTGGATTACAAGGAGACATTCTCTCCTGTTGCTAAAATGGTGACTGTTAGGTTTGTGGTGGCTTTGGCTGCAGCATCTGGGTGGTATATTTTTCAGATGGATGTCCACAATGCTTTTCTTCAAGGTGATCTTCTTGAAGAGGTGTACATGCACATTCCAGATGGCTTTGCCAGCCAGGGGGAGTTACAGAAGGTTTGCAGACTTCATAAGTCATTGTATGGGCTCAAACAAGCTCCCAAACAGTGGAACTTGAAGCTGACCAGTGCACTGACTGACATGGGCTTTGTTCGGTCACACTATGACTATTCTCTGTTCACATACAAGGCAGGTTGTGATCTTGTAGTAGTGCTGGTATATGTGGATGATCTGCTAGTGACAGGAACTAGCTTAGCACTTATTCAACAAGTAAGGAAAGATCTACAAGCCAGATTTAAGATGAAAGATCTGGGAGAGCTGAAGTTTTTTCTTGGCATTGAGTTCTTGAGATCCAAGGAAGGAATCTTGATGAATCAAAAAAAGTATGCACTTGAGCTAGTTTCTGAAATAGGATTAGCAGGCAGTAAAACAGCTGCCACCCCTCTAGAGTTCAATCACAAGCTGTCCTCTGTAGAACTAGACAAGTTTCTGCACACTAATGAAACTTTAATTAACAAAGAATTAGAAGATAGAAGCAGCTACCAAAGGTTGATTGGTAGACTGTTATACCTAACCATGACTAGGCCTGATATTGCATTTGTAGTTCAGGTACTTAGCCAATATATGCATGCTCCTAAGCAGTCTCACATGGATGCATCTATGAGAGTAGTTAGATACATTAAGGGTACTGCAGGACTTGGGTTGTTTATGCCAACAGATGGAAGCACAGAACTTTCAGCATTCTGTGACTCAGGTTGGGGAGCATGTGTAGAAACCAGGAAGTCAGTAACTGGCTATATGGTGAAGTTTGGGCAGGCCTTGGTGTCTTGGAAATCAAAGAAACAAAGTACTGTTTCCAGAAGTTCTGTTGAAGCAGAATTCAGAAGCATGGCATCAACTGTAGCTGAGATCACTTGGTTCTGTTTAAAGAGCTTGGAGTGAAGGTGAATCTGCCTGTGCAACTATTCTGCGACAGCAAAGCTGCAATTCAGATTGCAGCTCATCCCATTTTTCATGAGAGGACCAAGTTCTTTGATATTGACTGTCATTTTGTGAGAGAAAAAATTCAAGATGGGCAAATACAAACACAGCATATCGGAACTAAGGAGCAGCTAGCTGACTTGCTTACAAAAAGCTTATGCAAGCCACAACATGATTATTTGGTAGGCAAGCTGGGAATGAAGAACATATTTCATCCCTCAGCTTGAGGGGGAGTGTTGAGACTGGTAGTTAGTTGTAGTGGTGTAGGTGTGTGTCCAGCTGTAAATGAGCTGTCATTAGAGTCAGATTAAGTTAAGAAGTTAGTTAGTTAGTTAGTTACATGTATAAATACTTCATTTCTAGATGCTTCTGTGATTGAGCTTTTGATTCAATGAGAATTCATTCTTCTCCCTCTCTCACTCGCTCATTTTCTCTCAATGCATCTCCATGGCTGACCTCCATTAACAAAATATTATATTTTCGTCGTTGCCACCAACTTTTTGCCTTCTCTATTTTTTTTATTACTTTTTTTTGCTTTGTACATTTTCTTTTTCCTATTCTTATGCTTTGTGTTTGAGGCATTTATCTCCTTGAATTGTTGAAAATTGAAATGCTTAGCATGTTAGCCTCTGATGTTATATCTATTGTAATTTCACTGTTTAGTACTTTTAAGTTTGGTTATTTTTGAAGGTTGATTTTGT